GGAAAAAACAGGAAACAACTTAAGTTTAAAGGAAAACCTTTTCAACAAAGAGCATTTTGTTTGTCCTAATAAATTCTTTGGGGTACAGCCTTTAGTTTTTACAGCCACTGCACACATAATCTCGATTTGTTTTACAACAAAACACTAACGAGGTTGGGGCTAAAATGGTGGTTTCTAATGGGAGAGGTGAACTGTCGAACGGAACCCCAAGCCCGAGCTCAGACAATTGCCATCAATTACATTTAATTCGAGGGGATCGCATGCTAAGTGAGCGACGAGGTCACCCCCTAAAATTAACCCCACAGCGCCGACTAATGACCGAAGAGTAACCCCCTATTTCAATTCTTTCATCCCCACAGAGCTGCCCGTGTGGAACTACGATGGAAGCTCGTGCTACCAGGCCGAGGGATCCAACTCGGACACCTACCTGTACCCGGTGGCCATCTACAAGGACCCCTTCCGCCGCGGCAACAACATCCTGGTGATGTGCGACACCTACAAGTTCGACGGCACCCCAACGGAAACCAACAAGCGCAAGACCTGCCTCGAGGTGGCCAACAAGTGCGCGGACGCGGAGCCCTGGTTCGGCATCGAGCAGGAGTACACCTTCCTCGACTTCGACGGCCATCCGCTCGGCTGGCCCAAGAACGGCTTCCCCGGACCCCAGGGACCCTACTACTGCGGCGTCGGTGCCAACAAGGTGAGTTCTGCAGAGCTAGAAAACACAAAATGATGAACTCAGTTTAAATAACTTCAAAGAGCACATCGTCCTTCAATTAACCATTTGTTTCAAACAAGTGATGTCTGTAATCATCACAAATAACTGGATAAGTTACAGTGAAAGCAGCATTTATACCAACTAGCAAATATTTTCTGCCAATGTGGCGTATACGTAATTTTCTGAAATAATTTATTCCGTTATTTACTGGCATGGAAAGTTATTTAATGGAAAGTTATTTAATAACAAGTGTTTTATTTGATACTAGATACCTAAAATATATAATAGTTATTATATATTTTATTACATTATTTATTTTATATGAAGGAAATTGGGGCGTATACGCAATTTGATGTTTAAGGTTGACTTCCAGCGTTTGTTTTTGAGGATTCTAACTTATTTACATTTCGCAACGACTGTTTCAGGTCTACGCCCGCGACATTGTGGACGCCCACTACCGCGCCTGCTTGTACGCCGGAGTCAAGGTGTCCGGCACCAATGCCGAGGTGATGCCCGCCCAGTGGGAGTTCCAGGTGGGACCCTGCGTGGGAATCTCCATCGGCGATGACCTCTGGATGGCCCGCTTCCTCTTGCACCGCATTTCCGAGGAGTTTGGCGTAAGTTGAAATGTCTTACATAAAAGCAGAAAAAATATATATATATTTTTCTTAAACTTATTTTGAGATTGCTTTGAAATACTCCATGCATTCATTAAAAATTAGTATATTATATTATAAAGTTCTATTTACATTTGAATTGATAAAAGTATAAATGGTCAGATGTTTTTGAGTGTAACTCTATCTGCCATCTCAAAGAGCTATAATATATTGTTGTTATGTATTGTTATTTAATCTGAGTTATGAGTACTAATGAAAACCTTGTGGTTAATGCAGATCGTGGCCACTCTGGACCCCAAGCCAATGCCCGGCGACTGGAACGGCGCCGGCGCCCACACCAACGTGTCGACGAAGGCGATGCGCGAGGACGGCGGCATCCGGGACATCGAGAAGGCGGTGGCCAAGCTGGCCAAGTGCCACGAGCGGCACATCCGCGCCTACGATCCCAAGCAGGGCCAGGACAACGCCCGCCGTCTGACCGGCAAGCACGAGACGAGCTCGATCAACGACTTCAGCGCCGGAGTGGCCAACCGCGGATGCAGCATACGCATTCCCCGCGGTGTCAACGACGACGGCAAGGGCTACTTCGAGGACCGTCGGCCGAGCTCCAACTGCGATCCCTACTCCGTCGTGGAGGCCATCTTGCGCACCATCTGCCTCGACGAGTAAGGGGGATCTGCATCTGGATCTGGACATGGATACGGATACGGATATGGATATCCCGAGTTGTTATCGATTTATAGATTGTTGTTACACCACCACTGTTGATCCACTGACCCACTGACCCACGAAAACACCCGAACACCGAACGCGAAGTTATATGCATACCGTAGGCTTAGTTTTTACCTAACGTATTTCGAGAGCCCAGAACTAGAATCCTAAGGCAGCCCCTCTTGCTGATATTTCCCCTGTTTTTTTCTTTTTTTTTTAGCTGCTGTTGATTAGGTTTTAGTGTGAGTTTTTTTTTGGACCAGCAATACAATATGCAAACATATATATGGTCAGCGAATTGAAGATGAGATCTAGAAGAGCAAGAACCCAAAAAGAAATCCCCAGCATCCCATTAAAGAACATAAAGCTCAAGTATCAAACTCTCCCCTGAGTCCCCAAAACCCCCACCCCTACTTGTTAATGATATTAAATAATTAACTTTAATCCTAAACTACATACATATACTCTCTAGTTAAGTAAATGCACCAAAAAATAAAAAAAAATACCCAATACAACAAAGAGGTGATTTATTCATTTGGGGTGGAAAAAGTTTTGGAAGCGAAAACGATTTCAATAATTAAAGATAAAAAAATAGACTTTTACTTTGAGAAGTCAACTTTATATGGCGAGGGAAAGAAGAGTTTGTTCATTTTTGTCACCTTCTGGTCTTTCAAAATTCAATCAATCAAATTATTAAGTTATAGCTTAATGAAAACGCAAACAAACATCCACAAATCTTTTGTGTCTCCTGCAAATGATCACTTTAAGGTGTTTAAAGTAATAAAATGTATATCAACAATCGGTTTACTTTTTCTGCCGCCAGCACGTGCTAATATATACAGCATATAGAAAACACATATATAATGTGTAGACTGCAATTAGATTATAGATTGTAGCTCGAAGCGAGAGTTCATTGATGGGGTTGACTTTTTTCCATGGCCGATAAGCTGAAAGTGCCCCAACGATTCCCAGTGGAAAGACTCGATTTTGCTTTTCATTTTATTTATTTAATACTAAAAATTGTAACTTTGATTTCGTTTTGTATGTCTGTTTAATTTTATTGATTTTGTAGTTTTAGTTGAATTTTCATGCTTTTCCATGCTGTAGCCCTACGAATTTTCTCCGCTCTCAGTTGTCAGTTTTATCGTTATATTGATATAGGTATGTATATATATAATTTTGTATATGTAAAGTATATAACTCTATCTGTATCTGTTTGTGGTATTTTGTCAACTACATTCCATTTTGTGATTCGAATTTTGTTGGTTTGTTGGTTTGTTGCTTTTTGCTCAATGATCAACAATGAATGAAACAAGAAACGCAATAAATAAGTGCAAATAAAATTGAACATCGAAGACTGCTATTGCTCAATGGAAGCTGAACTTGATTTATTTGCATTAAGTATATGCTACATGCGCGTTTGCCCGCTAATTAATTGGATTCAAAGGAGTTTCGACTGTTTGCCAGGGTCAACAAATCGTTAACGTCTGCTTTCTGTCTGGCCGAAAGTCGTTGGCATTCGCTAAGTTGATAAACTGCAAAGTCTTTTTTCACATTTATCAAATCGAACTGACAAGGCTTTAAATTAGCCGCTATCGACGGGGTTCATTATACCGCCCCAATGAGTCACTAAGTGGGCCAATTATTTGATCAGCAATCCGCACAAATTCCACACCTATTGGTCAATCAGTTAACACCGACTATGCGCAGGCCAAGAGTCTAGACTTTGGCCAACAATGCTCCATATGCATGGGTATAAATTTGTAAAATCTATTTCAGATATCGTATAATTTGTGCCTTCGCTATTCGTAACGCAATACGCAATTAACACTAGACTTGCCAATTTCTTAAGACTCGAGGCTGTTGGGGGATCTGTTTTCTTATTTTTTTTTTCTTTTTAGGGGGAAATTTAACTTTCTCGGGAATGCTTTTTATTTGGGTGTCTGTTAACTCTTGCTGATTGTTAATACTGCCCCAGCAGCCTCGTCTTTTAGCCGCAGAAATACATATAGTACATACATTACATAATCATTAATTTTCGCGTAAAACAAAAATTCTAATAGTTTAGCAAAAATTCGGGAACAAAACTTAAGCATTACATATACTTAGTGTTTACATAACAAAGTTTTGTGACATCATTTTCGCAATTCTTACACGCTACGAAACGTATTACATAGATTTCTTACTCTCGCTGTTTCTAATCGGTTTGTCATGATGGGCAAATCAATGGAATTACACAAATTAAGTTAGTCGATTGGTTCTCGCTCTTAATCACGGTAAGTAACGAACCTAAACACTGAGGACATCAGGCTAACAAATGATAATAAAAACTTGTTATAGAATAAGAAACATAATAGAAATTAAGAAAAAAAACACAATAATATTGCACATGGAAAATGGTTCAACCTGAATAATTAATTGTATTGTTTGTTTGATAATTGTTAATCATTCGAATGTCGATTTCGAAATCGGGTTTCGCGACAAGCTGCCAAATTGTTTAGGGTTGGTTTGCATTAAAGGAACCTTATAAATCATACTTATTTTCTGGGGATATAGACAAGCGCTACTGTTAACTAAGTGGAATATCGTAAGTAGTGTGAATATCGTAGTCGTTATCGTAATATCGTTCTTAAAGTTTGAGAAAGTCGGCCCTTCCTCGTGGTTCTTTCACATACGTTTTAAACTATTTTGAATAGTTGTATAATATTTGTTTTTCAGTTAATCATCTTGCATTTCTCTCTGCATTTGGCCACGCTTGTTACTTTGTCTTTCGCACTTGGTTTTATTTTAGTTTTAGGTTTAGATTGGTTTAGCTTATTATACGAGAGTTACAAAATTCATTCCAGACAAATGTGCTGTGTGTGGTTGAGTGTTAATATCAATCTACAGGGATGAAATCATAACACAAATCGATCGAATGGGTAGACCAAAAGTTCCGTTCACTTTAAAAAGTCGGCAATTTGATTAAAAATGTGTTTCTGCCTTGCCAAAGAACAATTTGATTCGCTTAAAACTTACATTAAAAGTGGTTCACGGGATTCCTGGGCTGGGAGTTTTTGGGTTAAAGGGGGTTTACATAAAATTCATTGCATTGCATGTGTGCTATATATCTAGGGGATATCCAAATGCCAATCTCTTATCTTTTATCCATCGCATCGGATCAGTTGCTATCGATCAATGTACAAATGTGTAAATTACTCTTTCTCTCTCAATATCGTTTCAATTAGGATTTAAAATAAATAAATATGAGTGTTTCGCTTGTAAAACATAACAGTAATAAAATTATTGCCAAAAAAAATAGGTAAAAATAATCATCGTAAAATATCCAGATCGTAATAGTAAGGTTTAAACGAATATTATACATAAATAATATTTTAATGGGATTGCAACTATCTTCCTCCGACTCTTAATTACTTCCTGTGCCCGACGCTTCTCCTTTCGCTTCCGAATTTGTGATCACAGGCCTGCCCTTACATATATACCGATGCGTATATATATAAATCGGCTCCAGCTCGCCCTCCCATTCGAATGTGGGAGTATCCTGTACTGCTCTGATTTCTTTTTCTCCTTTCATCACTCGCTGCTTTTCTCCTAATTGTGGTTGTGGTTGTGGTTGCTGGATGGTGAGGATCTGATGGATCTGGTCGATCTCTAGGTTATGTCGACAGCTCCGTACTTCCGCGCCTCACCATATTCAGATCGTTGAAGTCGATCTCGGTCGATTCGATCGATTGGATTGAAGAGCTGCGCAGTTTTGTGCCCGGAAATTTGCCACGACTCTTAAGTGCCGTCAGCTATGGTGAATCAAAAGGGGAACATTAGTTGGGAGTTCATTTAAATATCAATACGAAATAAAATTTAAAAGGCTTTACTAATAGTTACAAGGCTAAAGCAATTATTAAAGTTTTGTCATGCTTTTAATTGTAAAAGATTTGTGACAATATCACACTGTAAAATATAAAGTTAAAAAATAATTTACTAAAGAACAATGTGTAATGAACCAAAGAAGCAGATTGTTTTGATTTATGTATTATTATTAGGCGTTTATAATATTATGTAAACTCGCAAAACATAAAGCGAATTCTTGGGACTAAAAAGTGTAGTCAAATAAATTACAATAACTTTCACATTGTTTTACTTTTAAATAAATTCAATTCAATGCTTTACTCATTAATCTAAAATAAATATAAAAACAAGGGTACAAAAATTGCTTTAGCCTGATAATATGAGCAGGAAAAACATAGATCCGATTACAAACAGATTTGATTAATAATTCGATTCTGTGTTCAGAAACGTGTCTTAAATACCTTATTGATTAGTTGCTATGAATATGTCTGTTAGATAAGGAGGCATGCAAGCGTGCAGAAAATTAATAATATTACAGAACGCACTGCTACAAATCACAGGTCTAGAACACTCCTTCAGGGCCTTGTACGTTTCACTCAAACATCAACATAAATATGTGTATTCCGAAGCTGATGTGAATTGCAATGCAAGGCCAAGTCGAACTCGTGTCAAAACAGCATCAACGGATGACAGGTGAACTTGTGTCAAGACCAACGATCACAGTACGTCACTACAAGTATGCAAACAACGAACAACGGCTAGGATCGATTGGAACCAGGCACCTTCCATGGTAACAACTAGCATCGGATGCAGGCGATCTGTGTGCGAATTCAATTGGGGTCACTGACCCAAAATAAAACATACAACAGATGCAAGTTTTACTAGATCGAAACTACAGGGAATTCCGAATAAGGTTTGAGTATTCGCTGAAAGCTCGCAAAAAGCTTGGGGATCCGGAGCAAATTACACTATGCAGCAGGTGGAAAAATATAATTACATCAACTTGATACGATTTATGGATCTACTAAAATATTTTCGGACTTTTTCAATGGTAAATTTTAAATTGTTTCCACTCTATTTTCTTATATATTCCAAAACTATCAGAATAACAAATTCTTTTACAGATTTAAGTTGCTAAGCTTATTACGAATGTATTTGAAATAAATAAAAGAATGTATAACTTTGGATGGTTTCTACAAGTATTCCTACTAAATATCACAGAAAGGCACAGAAACTATGCCACGTTTCTACCAATTTTATAAAAATTAAAATCGAAAAACTCATATACTTTTCGTAAATTATCAACCATGGAAAATGATATTTGCAGTATTCTAACCTAGATACATTACTTTCCCAAGAAAGAACTGTAATCATTCATGCATTTTGGAGATATGAAAATGATTTTGGCGAGGATCTAGAGGCTATAGAACGTGCAATCTATGGAATGTAAAAGGCCAACAAACGCTACAATCAGGCGAAGGCTAAAAGTACTGAGATGATTTGAGCAGTTTCATAGAGACCTGAGTAGTTGGTAGCTTGGCCTGCTGCTTGAGGTTGGATTTTTGTGTTTCGGGGAGTTGTGTGTGTGGCAATAGAGATTAGAGGACAATTGTGGCTTCTGGAGTTTCAAATGGGGTTTTGGTAATTGGCTTTTCTTTATTTGCGTTTCAATTTTGCTCGCTTAGTTTCGTATTCGTTTTCGGTTTCGGTTTCTTTCAATTGGTTTTCGGTTTTGGGCTGTGTTAAAATCAGTTTAGCTTATCCATTTCCACGGCTCAGTGTCGGGGCTGGTTATTGGCGTGGGATACTATATAGCAAAACCAACAACGCATTGTTTCGTTTTTGTTTTTTGCGTGTGAGAAAGAAATTCAATGAGAAATACCAGATTATTGTCTTGGCTTACGGCAGATGGGTTACGGTATGGGCTTTGAGAATTAACCAAACGGAAAGTAAAACAAACTAACTAAAGGGTGTACAGTGAAGCTTGGCGAAATCAAAAACATTTTCGTATGCCACAGTGAGCGAGCGCAGTAAATCTGTAACTTGAAAAGCATAAGTATAATAATTAGGAGAAGCCTTTACTGCATTATCACACAGCCTTAACAAAATAAGTATCATAAAAAAGTAAATCCTTTTTGGGATCACACATCCTCAACAAAAGAGAAAATTCCCGGAAGAAATCAAAATGAATATGCTGGATTTTAGCTGATAGAACTGATGAAATTCAAAAATCAAAAACTTATTCTGCCTAAGAACACAATATTCAAACCATATTATTAAACTTGACTAGCAAACGAAGCATATTTAGGGTGAAAATCGCCTTCAGGAGGCGGCATTGTGCTCCTCCAGATTGGAAATACGAGTCTGATCTCTGGTTTAGTCAGTTGGGTGAGTGGGTGAGTGGGTGGTTGGGTGGTTGGGTGGCTGTGAGGTGGGTGTGCGTGTTATTATTATTGAATGTCGGCTGCTGCTGGCATTTGAATGAACTTAAAACGAAACCAAAACCAAAAGCAGTGGGGGATTAGCGGCAAGTGCTCTGGGCATCGAATGGCGACCCTCGCTCACCTCCGCCTTCATGTCGGCCAGCCTGTCCTGCAGGTCGCGCACCTTGTCGGAGTCGTCCAGATTGGCGCGCAGTTCGCCCTCGGCGAGCATCTCCGAGTTCTGTGATTGCAAGAAGAATGAGGAATTAATGAGATGCCGGGAACAGCTTGAAAAGTAGTAGTAACCTTGGTCTCCAGTCGGGAGATTTCCTGTTTCAGTTCGGCGACAGTTTGGCTCTGTTCGGTGAATTTGATCTTCACATTCATCAGCTCGTCCTTCATGCGAGATTCCAGATCGGAGTATCTGCAAATGGATTAAGAAACGCAGAATTATATTTAGTTTGAACAGAAGAAGAGTGAACCCACCTGTGCTGCTGCTCGCGCGCCTTGTTGGCCATGTCCTTCTCCCTGGTGACGGCCATCTCGAGCTCCTCCTTCAGCTTCTTGTGCTCCTCGTCCTGCCGCCTCAGCTGGTTGGTGGACACCTGGACTTGCGTCTCCAGCTCCATGACCTTGAGGCGCAGCTCCTTGAGCTCGGTGAGCGTCTCCATCTCGCGGATGCGCGTGGTCATCAGCTCCTCCTCGAGCTTCTGGGTGTGCTCGCTGCTCTTGGAGCTGTCGAAGAAGTTGGTCAGCAGCTTCTTGGGCGTGGAGTCCACGGCGCTGGTGGTGCGTTCGCTCTCGCTGCGTTGGTTCTCCGCCAGCTGCCGCTGCCACTGGCTGCTCAGCTCCTGCACCCGCTGCTTGAGGTCCTTCAGCGAGAGGGAGGCCTCCGCCTCGCGCAGCTTGCTGGCAATCAGCTCGTCCTGCAGATGGGCCACCGAGTTGTCGGGCGTCGTCTCGCGCAGCGTCTTCTTGTCCTCCTCCAGCTCCTCGACCTTGGCCTTGAGGTTCCTGATCTGGTCCTCGCTCTCGGCCAGTCCCTGACGCACCTTCACCAGCTCCTCCAGCAGGCAGGAGACCATCTCGTCGCGCTGCTTCAGCGCCTCCTCCTTCATGCAGAGCTCGTCGATCGACGACTGCCGCGAGTTATTCTAAATGGGAATCATTTGAGGGATTAGTCTAAGGTGTTTTCACGATTGGCTGAATGGGGTTGGGCATGCAGAGGGTTAGAGGGTTAGCTATGGAGCAAATAAATGTACATGGGTTAGACATTCCTCTATGTTCTCATCTAAGGTTATCCTTCTCTATGTACACAACCTCATTGGACACAAAACCTATATTAAATGTAAATATAAATACAACATAAGGCATTAAAATGATAGATAATATTAAAAAAAAAATGAATTTAAAGGATTTGTCTAATTTGTAATGGTTTAGGTATGATTTTATGTGTTTACAATAATTTGTACATATTTACAATAAGACTACCAAATGAAGAATTTACTGTGAAAGCATAGTGATTTTTTTACAACAAAATTTGTGTATATTATAAAGTTTGTTTTGAAGCACTTTAACGACAAACTAGAATGAACACAGAAATCGATATGCGAATGAAATATTATTGAACGTATTTCGGGCCCACTGGTGGCAAATACAAATGTGTTTACTTTTATGTAAATAGGGCAAAACAATAAACATGCAAAACAACACAATGGCTGAGTAATTTCTCTTTTTTTGTTTTTTGGTTCATTCAAACTACAGAACAAGGTTGCGTGAGCATTTCACGAGATACTTACGCTGTCGATGGATACATTCTGTATGTGATTTGATAATTTATTTTGTTTTTTTTCGGATTAAAGCGAACATTTGTGTGTGTATTTTGAAGCACCACAACCATAAGAAATCAAATAAAATAGAAAAGAATACAGGAGATTAGCAACAGATTCCGGTTTAGTTACAGGACATTTGACCGAGACGAGGGTTCAGGGATCGCTGGAGCGGATGGGACGGATCACAATATACTCACATTCTCCTGCAGGCGGAGGCTCAAGCCGCGCACCTCCTCGTTGGCGTTCTCCAGCTGGTGGGAGACCTCCAGGTAGGCGCGCCGCAGCTGCATCAGCTCCGCCTGAATGGTGTAGCTGGAGTGCGATAATATAGAAATGTGTTTTAAATATATATTTTAAAATTAAGCAGAATATCTGTAGTCTTGTACATAAGTTGACTTGCTTAAGATTCTGCTAGTTGGTTGGATATTTTAACAAATAATTGTTGAACAAATAATAACAATAACAAGCTAATTGGATTATTTAAAGTAAAAACACACAAGATTTGAGTCAAAACCCCTGTAGCTAGTACTCATTAAAATCCTTAGGTTTATTGTTTGTACTAAATTTAATTTTTTAAATAAATTAAAATTTAATAACTCATTCAACCCATTTCTTTCTTTTTTTAACTCAACTCTTTAAAATTTCTTTTGTAAACTATAAGTAAAATATACCAAAAGATATCCTATCAACATAGTCTTTGAATGGAAACAGCCACTAATTGGTCACCCGAATCCCCCAAGCTCACCTAGTTTCCTCCTCCTCGGCTCTGGAGACCTGGCCGCGCACCAGGCGATCGGCCAGCTCGGCGCTCTCGGCCTCCAGGAGCTCGTTGCGCTGCTTGAGCAGACAGTTCTCGCGCCTCAGGCGGCGCAGCTCGGCCATCTCCTCCTGCTCCTTCTTCTTGAGGTCCTGGTACTCCTTCTCCATCTTCTTCATGCGCTTGGTGTTCAGCTTGAGGGAGTAGGCCAGATTGAAGAAGCCCTCGACGTCGGCCTCCACGCGGCCGGGCAGCTCCTTCTGGAAGAACTTGAGCATGGCCTCCATGTCCAGGCAGAGCAGGGTCTCCTTGCCGGTGAGCAGGAGGGCCAGGGCCACCTTGAAGATGAACTCCATGCCCTCGCTGAGGAAGACGTCCATGATGCGGCAGCTCAGGTTGACGTTCAGCGTGGTCGTGTAGAGGGTGAGGAACCAGCTGGAGGCGTACATGGTCGTCTGGAAGCCCTGCTGCTGGAAGTGGATGTGCATGTCGGGTATCTGCTCCTGCACCAGGTTCTCCAGCTGGTACATGCACAGGCCCAGCTCCGACATCGATGGCTTGAACATGTGCCGCATGCGGTGCTGCTGCATGATCTGCACGAGCACCGCGAAGGCCTCCTCCTCGGGCATCTGCATCAGCAGGAGGCCCACGATGAAGCCCGATCCCTGGCAGTAGCCCACCTCGCGGTCGTGCAGGGAGTAGGCCTTGATCACGTTGAAGAGCGCCTCCTGGCCGGGGCCGTCTTTCTCCTTGAAGAACTCCACCTCGGGATAGGTGCGGGCGATGTCCCGCCGGATGACCTTCTCGCAGGCGCTGGTCGCCTTGATGTACTCCGCGTACTGCTTCTTGTCCGCCTCCGCCGCTCCGCTCAGCTGCTGCCACACGATCGCCCGGAAGTGGTGTGGAATGCCCCGGCGCACCAGCTCGCCCACGCAGGGATTCTTGCGCTTCAGAGCGCCCTCCCAGTCATTGAGGATGGTGGCCCACGTCGTCCACACGTCCTCCTCGGCCACCGAGTTGCCGCCTGCAACGGAGATGCTCATTAGTCACTGAACTCTACTTTAATTGTAATTATGAGTTACTCGATGAATGCATAGCTCTCTTTGCAAAGGAATGGGAATTTCCCCACTAACTTGGCTGTTGAATGAACTAAAGTCTGGTAAATTTAAATAGATAGCTGCGATAGCTGAACCGTGTGCAATTAGTCATCGAACTTGGTCAGAACTAACAATATTAGTCACAACCCTGTGAGCACTTGGCTACCAAATGAAATCCCTTATCTTATAATACCTTTTCAGGTGGATTTCGCTATTAGGTGATTACACTGCACTTTTTTGTTACTGAATAGAACACCTACCACATATTAATGCTGAGTTTTACTTTACCAAATAGAACTCTTATACCTTGTATACCAAATGTTATTTCCTAGTTTTTCATTTATATTTATGATTTCGCACTTAACGTGGATACTCAACGAAAAGAGCCAGCAACGAATTGAACAGATATCATAATCATAAATGGGGGCACGACTTTAGCTTTAGAACCCCATTGTTTATTAAAAGCTGACTGGGACTGGCACTTACTCGACGTGAGGCTGATCTGACTCGTGTCCGAGTTCTTGCGGCTGTGCGTGGAGTGCAGAGAGTTGAGGGACTTGGCGTCGCTCTCGATGAGCTTGTTGGCCGCCTCCAGCTTGGCGAGCAGATCCATCTCGGAGGTGGGCAGGTTCTCTTCGCCGGGAAGTGCGCCCTTCACGTCCATTTTCGCTTGGCTCTCGGCTGATGGGGCAGTGGTCGTTGTGGTCAGGGTCATCTTCTGACGCGGAACGACTATCTCCGTTCTCCGATCTCCGATCTCAGTCTCTCAGTCTCAGTGTGCTCCTCCCTTGTCAATCTTGGGCTTGCCCCTGGGTTATCTTTCCTAGATCTCGATTGGCCCGATCCGCCGCAGTGCTCCTGATTTGCGATGACGATTGCTCCTCTGCTGATCACCTAAAACCGCCACATGATGCTTCCAGCTGGCACACTGTAAATTCAAAAGAGGAAACACTTTAAGCACTTGTCAATTACGAGAAAAGTAATTGCTAATTTCTAATCAATTTCAGTTTTAAATATCCAGTTGAATGGAGACCTCTTAAAGCGCAGATAGTAGCTGGCGAAACTGAAGTTACCGGAATTCGAGAGCCCAGCGAAGTGAACTCCTCTCGAGATCTGGCATGTGCCACATAATGGAAATACTACAAAATATATATAAAACAAACAGAGGCGAGTGCAAAGTATTCCAGTCTGTTTGCCAGCCTCAGTGTTTTTGTTTTTCCTCTTGTTTTGTTTGTTTGCTATTCGTGCGCCCTACAAAACCCGTGCTCATAAAGGGGGTTACCATAGAAGGGGGCGGAGGGGGGGCGGACCTGCAGCCGAACAATGGAAAAAGCTGTCAGGGCTTTCTGTTGATTGCCTTGGCGGCTATTTCTTCCGAGCGGGTATATTCAACTCTACCACGCAACTGGATCAAGTTTAACTTTCTTCTATTTCACTCTCAGTATCCATAAAACACTGCAACAGAAACTAGGCCAGAAAACTAAATAAAATAAGAATTGATTTCAAACAGTATTAATTCAAAAAAAATATTACGTATATGACACACTCTATAACAAAAACAGTTTAGTTTAATTGTAGTTCTAAACGAATTGCGTACAAATATAAATTATAAGCTTACTCTACTTGTAAAATACAAACCAGAGAAAAAGAGAGCACCACTTTTTTATCTAGAAACTCAGACTTTTAGCTCTCTCGGAAAAAAACCAAATAAATCCAGAGGAAGTTCGAACTGGGTAAAAACAAAATAGTTATCAATTTAGAGAGGAACAGATTGCTGCGAACGGGAGGAAAACAATAACAGACAGACGCAGTATTATTTTTTCTTAGATTCTTTGTAATTTGACGGTTTTGTTTGTCAGTCACTCGCTTCCGATAAGATTCATATAAACCCCTCGGCGTTTTATTCCCCTTCGATCAATCGGTTCGATTTTAATGCAGTAGAAGGCTGCGGAGTGCTCCCAATTTGGAAGTGGAATCGTATCGACAATGCTTTATCGCTATTCTGATAATCTAAAGTTCTTGTCATAGTTCTTGTTTCCACTAATCCAGCATTCCCTATTACCTGTTTCGTAGAACATAGAGTATTCGGCGGTTTGATATGCTCTCAACTGACATTACTTTTTTTTTAGATATTATTGCATCAAGTGGTATTTAATTCTGAAATGTTATTATGTCACAGACAACGATCTAATCTAAAGGGATCATAAGTAAACTTTATTTTGGTTTGCTGATAAACAAAACTGTCATCAATGAAAATATAATATATATATAAATTGCCACAGTTTTCAAAAGATATTTTTATAACCACTAGATATAAATAGGAATAAACGTATTTACAATTAAAAGTAATTCATCACATATTAATAACCTTAATAAATAATACCATATTTAAAATATTTGCCTGACTTGCATTTTCTACCCCTTAGGGTTATTTTTCTGGCTCATAAGTTTTTAATGGATATGCATGAAGTCCATCATCCCCCCATAAGCCCCATATTGCCCCGCTAAACTAGCCGTCTACATCTGGAGGCACTCTGAGCCGCCTTTGGGTCGGCGTCTGCCTCCGTTTGGCCATTATCTAATGGATCTCCCTGGCCAGACAATGTCGAACCCCTCTTTAGGGCTCCTGCTCCAGTCGGACTCAATACAATTGAAAGGCAAAGTAAATTCAAACAGATATGTAGGTCAGGAAACGATAAACAAACCGCTGAAATACGGCTTTTCGTACGGCAAGTGCATACAAATGCTTGGTCTTTGAACGGTGCAGTCGGTAACCACTTGAGTGGTTCCCTTTTCAAATGATAAATCAAAGTTTTCAAGAGTACAGATCGAGTTATAATTAGCGCGGAGGGGGTGTGTGGTCTTGCCTTTATGTCTGCACTCGTTTTTTGGTCTGATTCACTTAGGTGCGAACGCAAAAGCTTCCATGAATCAGGTTGAAAACGTTTTAAACCCATTAAATATTCCATTTTGGCGTGTCTCTTTAAGAAGGCGTATCTCGCAATTTAACTACAGTAAAGTACAGGTAGGCAAGTCACTTGCGTCAGGTAAACTTAGGTGTGTTTTAAATATGAAATCAAAAACATTTTTATTGTCTATTTTGAAGGTTTGATAGAGCATTGAAGTAAAAGGGTGGAATTTTGCTTAAAGAAAACAAAATCAAAGAACATTTCCGAGTTAATAACTTGCAGAAATTCAAAAAACATAAGTTTATTAAGTGGTTCACTTATAATTATAATCTGAAACTCTTTTTGAGTGCGCACTGTATTTATATGTGTCCAAGAATGACCGCCGGCAGTATCACTACGCTTTTACAATCTTTATTTCGTTTGCTGATACCAACAAACGCGCAGTTTAAAAGCAAATAGAAAATATAAAAAATACGCTCTGTGCACCTGCCAGAGGCAAACAAAATAATTTGATTATTTTGAAAAAATTGCGATTTATTTATGGCAACCCTTTAAATCGCAAATTAGCCAGCGATGGCAAGAAAATCCAAAACCAACACCTGCCAAGTGATTCCGGGGAAATGGCCTTTTGGGTGTTTTTACCACGAAACCCTTAATTTGTCATTTCGAGCGAATTCTGATTGGGTGAGTCACGAGGTGCCAGCTACCGCTAGGACACATGATAAGCGATAAGATCTGAGGACCAACATTACGTATACGCAACAGGTGCCGCATACGCAACACCCCTCCCACTGAGCATTACTCACATATCCCACGCAAAGTAATCGATTAAAACAACAGCACAGCACAGAACACACACGATAGAAGGGCGCTGTGGGGTTAAGTGGTGTTTAGTTGTCTATGTAAGCAAACAATTGCATTGTCGGTACATTGCTGCTATATTGCATGTGGCAGGCACATGTACAGTGGACTCCTTGTAGATGAATTGTCCAAGTTTCTGATGCCAGAAACGAGCATTTAAATTTCCATTTATTGCAAATTCATTTTATTATTCATTTTTTAAATGTGATTCGCATTTAAAATGTTTATGCAATTCGAAAATAAAAATTGTTCAGCTTATAAACCATTTGTAATAGTGAGGATTTATAATAAATAAATAAATTTCACTTTTCGGGGTCAGATATTTTATTTAAATACTATAAACATACCGATTACCCAACGTTTTCCTTGCTTTCTATATTTTAAAAGTCATGTTTGGGGAAGTTTTTGGCCAAGAGTACACTGCAAAAGTAGGCAACATTTTCCATACATCCACAAAATAAAACACACAAAACAAAGAAATTATGCAGTGTCCACTGTACCACAAAGAGAGTTTAAAAAAATGCAATATTCTCACATTTTGAAAGGCAATGCCAAAAAGCTCGCGTTCCAAAGTCAAAGGCAAATTGTTCAATTGCAACAGTACACTGAGAAAAGCAGCAGCAGTGCGAGCATGGCACAAGTGAACCGAATAAAAGTAAAGATAAACACAAAAAGCATAATAGTAGGGCAACCAACTGGCAAAGATAAAGACATGGCAAAGGCAGCGCAGCGAAAGGTAATATCTCATCGATACCATATACCATGCCCACCATACGTGTTGATTAGATTTCGACACGACAAAAAAACAACAAGTGTGTGGGGGCTTTTGCGTATGTGAGAAAGTAAAAGCAAAGCCAAAAGCAAACGCAAAAGGCAAAAGGCAAAGGCAAAGGCAAAGGCAAAACAAAAGCAACAATGCAATCGTAAAACCAAATCTCCATTGAAAATAAGGTTAGTTCACCCTCGCGCTTCAGAGTTTCAGTACGAATTGTCGTGTCAAGCGCACAGGAAGCGATCGCAACCCGGATCGGATTGGATCGGATCGGATCGGATCGTAGGCCCCATATGTACTGTATAAATCGCAGACTTTTCGGTTAACTATACAACGTCGATCGCATGCGGACAAACAATTAAATGTAATGCCAAACAAAAATAGCCAGTAGCTGCGCGGAAAATAATCGCCAAAGTTCTAAAAAAAAAATAATAATAACAACCCCTAATTACAATTATACCATGACAAGACATTCAATAACAAAAGCATGATAATAATATAATACGTCAAATTAAACATATAGCATTTGTTAGGAGAATTACCACATTATTGAAATCAAAATTCAATATTAACATGGCAAGAAACCTATCTAAACTATTTTTGAAATTAAAATAAAGTAAAGTCCTACCAAATATACAAACATTATGAACTACAAAAAAGAAAATTTTCAATAACTTTAAAAGTAATAGTCATATTTAAAAGTCAAAAAGTCCACAGTGCATTCTGACTAAAACCATAATATGACTGAAAATGAACTAATGATTTCAATTACAAAACTCAAATGAGGCACGAATTTCTTTTGTTTTTTTGTGAAAGAGATTTGATTACAAATTGTGGAGCAACACAAAGGCAAAGATAAAACAATGGAAAAATGTAATATTAACAAACATTGAAAGAAAGGAACTTAATCATTAACTGGTTTTAAGTCTACCAAAATCAAGAACCAAAAACATTTCGTTTGCACAAATTTTAACAGCTTACTTTCAAGTGAAATCGCAAAACAACCAATCGCAGAGCTTTAAATTTCGACATAGATTCAAAGCAAATTAAAAATAAAAAATAATTGCTCAAACCAGTTATAAAACTCCAATTTGACATAAATGAAAAAAAGAAAAACAAACTAATAATAGTAAAAGCCAACGCACAGAAAACACGAAAATAAACGAGTTTCAAAGTTGGCAATTATTATACTTTTTGCAAGCGCTCTTCTATTTTTGCACCACCGATAACCAAGGTTTTTGTGTTGTTTTTTTTTGTTTCGTATTTTTTTTGCATGTGAAGACAAGGTCAACGAAGCGCTAAAAGCCAAAAGAAGAGCCACGGGCGAAGTAAATAAGCCATTGAAATGACGGCCAACACAGCGACGTCGGAGGAGAATCTGCTGGGGAAGAGCGGCCAGACCGAGGAACCCTCCACGCCCACCTCGGATGGCGAAGTGGAAGTGGGCGGTGCGGCCGCGGAGCTGAGCGAGATCTTCTTCGTGGACAACAGCCGGCGCAAGCAGAGCATCCGCATCCAGGTGAAGCTCTGTCCGGAGGGAGTTTACCTGCGCCGCGAAACGGACGAGGACGACCACATCAACGAGCAGCTCATCCGGATCGACGACATCATCGGCTCCCGCTACGGACCGCGACTGAAGAAGCGGGCCAGAGGCGGTCTCAACTCCTGCCGCAATCCCAATGTGCCGGGCCAGGAGGCGGAACCCGAACCGGATAGCGACAACAGCGCCTACTTGTACATCTATGCCTATCTGAAGAAGGAGAAACCCTTGCGCCGGGTGCAGACCCTCCGGATTCTCCGCTTCCGCTCGAGCAACGATTACGGTGTCAATCTGCAGACCGCGGAGCTCTGGCACCACACGATCCGCAGGCACAAGCAAGGCAGTGGCAGCACCTCCCCCGGCAACACAGGGAAGCAGCTGCTCATCCTGCTGAACCCCAAGTCCGGATCCGGGAAAGGCCGCGAGCTGTTCCAGAAGCAGGTGGCCCCGCTGCTGACGGAGGCGGAGACCCAGTACGACCTGCAGATCACCACACATCCCCAGTACGCCAAGGAGTTCGTGCGCACCCGGAAGGACCTGCTGGACCGCTACGCGGGCATCGTGGTGGCCTCCGGCGACGGCCTCTTCTACGAGGTGCTCAACGGCATCATGGAGCGAATGGACTGGCGGCGGGTGTGCCGCCAGCTGCCGCTCGGCATCATTCCCTGCGGATCGGGCAACGGGCTGGCCAAGAGTGTGGCCCACCACTGCAACGAACCGTACGAACCGAAGCCCATCCTCCACGCCACCCTGACCTGCATCGCCGGCAAGAGCACACCGATGGACGTGGTCAGGGTGGAGCTGGCGCCCCGGGACAAGCACTTTGTGATGTACTCCTTCCTCTCGGTGGGATGGGGTCTGATCGCCGACATCGACATCGAAAGCGAGCGACTGCGCTCCATTGGAGCACAAAGGTTCACACTCTGGGCCATCAAAAGGCTGATTACCCTGAGGACCTACAAGGGTCGAGTGTCCTACCTGCTGCCCGTAAGCAACGGCAAGGATGAGGAGCCGCCCGTTGAGGCGGCCAAGGAGGCCAAGGAGGCCAGGGAGAGTTCAGCGGAGGAGCGACGACCCTCGTCAATGCCAATGAACACTGGTGAATTTCGGGACTTGCCCGAGGAAGACGAGGACCTCGATGCGGACCAGTTTGCGGATGCCATTTCCCTGGACAGATCGGTGTACCGCCAGCATGCGGACAGCTGGCACTCGGCCATGTCCCGCAGGACGGCCTACTACTCGCTGGGAGGACCCAGTCTCCACTCGAATCGCAGTCGGATGAGCGTGAGCCAGCGGATCGAGGCGGCCAACGCGGAGTTCGCCGAGAAGGTGCCCACGGGCACGATTCCGGGACTGCAGGTGCCGCTGGCGGGCACCGAGGGATGGGTCTGCGAGGAGGGGGACTTCGTTATGGTCCACGCCGCCTACACCACGCACCTCTCCTCCGACGTCTTCTTCGCCCCGGAGTCGCGACTGGACGACGGACTCATCTACCTGGTGATCATCCGGAGCGGCGTGAGTCGCCATCAGCTGCTCAACTTCATGCTGAGCCTGAACACGGGCACCCATCTGCCCGTCGGCGAGGATCCCTTCATCAAGGTGGTCGCCTGCCGGGCGTTCCGCATCGAGCCGAGCAGCTCCGACGGCATCCTCGTGGTCGATGGCGAACGGGTGGAGTACGGACCCATCCAGGCGGAGGTTATGCCGGGCCTGATAAACGTGATGACCACCAGTGGCCAGTAGAAGTGATCGTGTATGCAATACACCCTGTACTTTCAGACAAAACATCTGCTTCACAACGAGCTGCATTCAGTGAATGATCAGTTTGTCAAGTGTTTAACCATAGACAATATTATTTTATAAGCCTTTTTGTTTGACGAATTAAAGAATAGTGTTACAAGACCCTAAAAGAAGTTGTAACCCAATGACTACTAAGTTAGGTGGCCGAAACTATAAATTGTTTGCATTCAGTGAATGTCCAGGTCTACATTCAAAAGCTGCTCAAGATCAAGATATATTGTAAATATAAACTGAATTAGTCTCCATGGAAAGGTGTCTATTGTGTTTAAGAGTTCGTGGACGAAAAAATCGTACAAGAGAAAAAGATTTTATAATAAGCAAATGTTAATTTCATTTACATTTGATATTATTAACGAAAATATTGTGCATAAGCCACCAACTATTACAACTATTTAGACTAAGAAATCTATTTTATTATATATTTAATTATATAGAATTTTAGGTAATCTGGTTTTCTGACATTATTATAGAGTGAAATAAGAAAACATTCTGTTACGCCTATTAAAAATATTGGGTTAACCCATTCTCATAGGTTTGAAAGGCAATCTATGTATAATGTTTCCATCCATCCTTGTATCAAAAGTTCACATTAAGCACTTAAGTAGTCGGTTAATATGGTTTCTATACAGTTTTTTTCTTCTAATCGGTCGATAGTGTTAAATATTTTTAGACTTATACGTAGAAGAATAAAACAAATAAACGGAATATAAAAATCCAAAGATTACGGTGCTCAAAGTGCTAACGGTATTCTGTTGCCGTGGAAACGAATATTTTTCAAGCGAAATGAAGCTTTGCAAATCCACAAACATACAATAAACGAGTCGAATTCGCCTCGCCGTTCATCCGGTTGCATGCCGATCTTTATCGATATCAGCCCCCAAAGTGGGGCCTTGAGGGGCCTCCCAAGCACCTACACGAAGGCAAATAGAAACGCACCTGGTCGAGGTTCAAGTGGGGACTTCATAATTGTGCTAATACACACACCGATTGACCAGATTAACCCCTAAAAAACAGCTAGCAAGGGATTTCGATTACCCAACAAGATGGAAAATTAACACCTAAAAAGCACATATGTATATAGCGGACATACATGTATATACATAATTAAACATCAATTTAGCTTGCCATAATAACACAGCTTTTACATAATTTATTACAGGCGAGAGTTAAACCTGAAAAAAAGTGTAAAATAACAATTTGTTTACAAAAAATAACTATCTTTCAAATCCAGCAGTTACTAAGACTGTGATCCACTAATCAAAAGAGATTTGCTGGATATACCTTTTATTTATAATACTTCGGCACTTTTTTCCAGTAGATTGTAATTAACTAGCTTTTCTATTTTATTGGACACATCAGTGGGGATTATCTTTGACAAGTTGATCAAATTAAACACATTTATATAAATGACATTCGAGAATGGAAATAAAATTGAAGATTGGGCAAAGACTAAAAGGTAAAACTGATAGTCACTCTTCTATCGCAGTTTGTATTAATATATTTTTATACCCGTTTATAGACAGGTCTGCTGCGGATTCATTGATAACACCTTTGCCTCTTATCACTGATAGACACATAAATGTGTTGGAAGTGCAAAGAAATCTAAGGCATACTTTTAGGCCATCCTAGTTAGTTTGAATATAAGTAAATTGGGGATACAATGACAAAAATTTTGATTGACGTCACATAGTCACTGGAGCCATTTAACCTGATTTTAGATCAGTGAAAATCGATAAGGATGTGTGTCAAATTGACTACCATTCAAAGTCGTTATACTTTTAGGCTGCCAAGTAATCGTGGCAGTGCTGCCTTGCTGATAATAAATTCATGTAGTTTATAGGATATTTGATCTGTAAACCTTAAACAAAAAAATGTTGACCTAGGTAAAAAGAAACGTTATGTAACAAGTATTGCCATATTTTATTTGAATTGGCTTGTTATTTTGATAATTGATCTGTTTTATTTAAATTTACTCTCTATTCGGTAGCCACTGTACTAGTGTGTATGTATATTTTTAGTGCTGAATTGGCAAAATTTAAACATTGTTTCACTACCGCGCTATCAATTCAACGCAAAGATAATTGCGACAGCAGCAAATCAAGCGAAAATAATGTCGGCAGACAAGTGTATATATACCGAGAGAGTAACGATAACTAATTGTAGTTCCACAGTCTGTTGGCAGATGTTGACACTCCGCTAGCGGCGCTATAAAACGAACCCTCTGGAAATTAATTAATAAGAGAGAAGGGGCGCTCTTTAAGTTTTCAGCTTAAACGATCGAAAACCGCACATGACAGAGGGCAAAAAAATTATTTTTTGCATGGTCTACGAGTTGGACCCCTTAATTATTAACGCCCACTGTGGGTTCTAAGACCTCTCAAGTTTCTACAGCCTTAAGCTTAAGTGCAGGCATATAAAACTATATGTAAGCATATGTGTACACACATATATCTGTACATACATATAATCTCGTGCTAACATATAGACTGAAGCACACTCACATGTGTGCGCTGGCAGATATTTCTGCACTATTTCCAGTCTAATTCATTCATAAAAAGTTCTTCACATTTCGCCTTCTTCTTCTTCTTTTGAAGTCGCTGGCTTTTATGAGAAGTGCTGGAAAAAAAATAAAACAGAATCGTTAACTCCAAGTCGACTCATGGCTTTAGCATTATATATGCACAACCGTTAGACGTCGGCAACCCACAGATGAAGAGAAAAAACACCAACACAAGACCCAATAATTTCAGGGTATTATAATCCGACTATTCATTTTGTCGCAGGTAAACATTTCCAAACCGATTTTGTGACTCATGGCATTTTAAAAGTGGTTTAAATATTCCCAAAACTTGTTCTCCTTTCCCTTTCACTGTGAAGATGATTTCTAAAATATACATATTTAGCCAACTTCTACAATGCATTTCTTTTATTAGAGCGATTGCTATAAATGTTTTATCACTGCGAAATTTAAAACACTTGTCTCATTCGAGTAAATATTTTTGAGCTTTTTCATTTAAAAAAGTAAAAACATAGGAAAAATTTAGAAAATTCATATGCTTTTCGTTGTTTAAAAATATAAAAAAATAAAAATGTAATTTAATGTTTGCATTTAAGTTTTGTTTTGAAAAGAGAGTATAAAGTATTCTTGGCTAACAACACGAAGTAAATGTTTTGACAGTCACAGCACTGTTATTTTATTTTATCTTTGCGGTTTGCTTACTTTTAATATCTTCGCAGAGACCACAGTAACATCTGTTCTACATTTTTTTCGCTTGTGGCGTCCAAATAACCAATTCGAATGGACCCGACTGTACCGGGCGATTAGTCAGAAACCTGATGGCGAATGCTTTAGCTAATTTTACCCCCCGCACCGCCTCCCACTTTTTGACGGCGACTTTCGAACAAATCACAATTTGCTCATTTGCTGTTTTTATTTTGTTTTGTTTCCGATTTTTGTTTAGCTTTTTTTATGCGGACAATATGAATAATACATGGGTGACCGGGACATCGGCGTTTAGCGGAGTTTATTTGTTGTCTTGCTAATTTGTGCACGCACACACATCGGATTTGTATCTGCATTTGCATTTTTTAATGCATCTCGAGTCACGCCCCCGAGCCATATGCCAATCTCGCTACAGTCGCATCCATGGCTATAAGGCACATACTGGGATTCCGCAGACTAATCGGATCAGTAATAGAGCGTAGCGAAAAAGGTCACATTTGTGGGTTTGACATTTAGCAGTTCTTTTTGCCATCTCGAGTTGAAAAAGTGACGAATTATTGTTTAGCATAACTTTTATTCTAAAACAAACAGTCAAACTATATTTTAAAAGCTCATTATAACATTAGTATTATAAGTTATTGAATTTTTTTTTTTTTCGAAATAATAATTACTTAAGATATATAAAGTTATTTAAAACTTCCTTGATACTAGCCTTTTAGAAATTAAATTCATTGTACAAGCCTTAAAGCGGTCCCAGATTCCAAAATTTCATTAAATAAGCTGTGTAACTTTCCATTTATGTTATGAATTAATCCAGTGGGATGGCAGAACCCGAGTAGTATGTCTGACCCGTATGAGAATGTTCCTTAGCATTACAGCCAATCTGTGTGCTTCGTCTTTTGTCCCTAAAGTAATTTAAGCCCAATCATCAAAAATTCATGAATGCCACGCCCACGCCCCCCAACCCCGCCCACTTGTACACACAGATACACACGGGTACACATACATAGAACCAAGCCCTGAGTTGGCTAACTCTCATTAACCCAATTTGAATTGTTTGCTCACTGGCTATCTCGCTTCGACGCACTGCAATTGAGCCCTTGGCAATGTTGTGACGTCAGCCACAGTAGACACGCAAAAATAGCTACATAGATATTAAAATAATTTTATTATTTAATACCCAGGTAAGGGGCGATTAGTAAATAAGAGAATAAAGTTCATATTTAAGAAAGTAAAGTAACGCAACAAAATATACTATATAGGTCTAAAAAAATAATATCCAGAAAATACTTTTAAGGACATATATGCATATAACATAATAGTGGAATTTGTTTTCCGTACAATCAAAGTGTTGCATATACGAACAGTTTGTTGAGTTAAACAAAAAATCAATACCATGCCAAAATCCAACCACAACATGCCAAGCCATTGATAAACACTCAATGCTATTCACTCTTCCAAGGGACTACTGTGCGCCGGTGGTAATTTTCAAATGCATTTACCTGTCTGCTTACCACAATTAGGGGTAATGCTAATGTAATAATGTTATTCCCAAGTGTCGCCCGAGCCCGAACTCGAATTCTCGTTTATCGCCACGAATCCTAAACAAGTAAAAACAAGTGCAGCCAGAGAAAACTGATAGGCGCAGAATAGCCAGAAGCAGGAAGGCGAAATGGAGCAGCAGCAGGGGAAACACGAGGCCCAGACGATAAGAACTGGTAGATTCCTTCAATCACTGGAAATACGCACTTCGCTCGGGTAAAATGTAAGATTTGAGAACAATGAAATTTTATCGCGCAAATTGCATTCACAAATGCAGTCGAAAAACTTGAACATAAATTACACAAGTCTCCCGAATCGAAATTATAAATTTATTAGCAAATTGGTAATTTATATCGACAAATTCGCACGTTATATGTAGTTAAACATTTTTTGAAATTGTGTTTGACATAAACAATAATACTTTTTACCCGTATTTAGGTGCAAAAGAGTGAATAAAAGGGTCGGAAAGATGAAACAAAATAAAGCAAACTCAAACTTTGAAACAAACTGTAAAGCAGCAAAATGAAATTATGAAACCTAATTCCCCTGAGTTTTTAGCCCCCCACAAAGGCCCCCACTGACTCCCAACTCATTACCATAATTTATTCACCAAATGCTGCTGAATGCTACTGCTGCACTCAGAAAAACGATCAAGATTAGCTTGAGTAATGAGGAAAGTACATTTTAATTCAAGATGTTTTTGTGTACCTAATGAAGTAATCATGGAGTTCTATAGAATTCGTGCGAAAAACATTGACCTTTGAGCTTGAACATTTTATAAAGAAGCAAAAAAACAAATTTAAATATCAAGTTAAATTCCTCTAAATATTTTCACGGCACGCTGTAATCTTTTTAATTTAAATAGAACCAATTGAATTAAGTTTGCTTTAATATCTGACAGTGTACAATTGCCATTGTTTTTTCAGTTGGTATTGGCTGAAATAAACATATTCCCAGTAGCATTCACTAGTGCTCCAATAAAAACTGTTTTCAACGCAATATTTGAGCCGTTTTGGATTTCAACAGCCGCCAGAAAGCAAAACCGAGACCAAAAACTGGTAAAATGGAAACAGACGAACAACTCCTTCAGTTCCGAGCCACAATAAATAACAACAACCATATGTTAGTATTGGCTGTCGAATGACTGAAAAAATATTTAAAGCGGCAATAACTCCAACAAATCAGGAAAGAAAAATGGATGGAGAAAACACCAACAAAAAACGACAATGAGTGTCGAAACTGTAAATTCATTGCTGCAAATCTGGAACTATACCAAATACAGTGGGGACTGACTTAATAAATGCTAGGAAACATAGCTTGAATATTGGCTACTTATTAATCAAAAGCTTAAAAACTTTAAGAAGAAAGAAGAAAGAACATTTTTGCGAATACAAGACTTTTATAAACAAATCCGAAGTTTTAAAATCTAATAATATTTTGATGAAAATAAATGTAAGTAAGTGGACAACATAAAATAATAAATAATAAAACATGGTATTGGCTAAACTCGTGTTATTATTGATATTTATCATTTCTTTTAGTTTATTTTGCTCCCAAGCACAGTTGCTTCAACAAACGCGTATTCACTGTGTCCCAAAATACCAACACGTCTCTATGGAGATTGGCACACATATCGGAATCGCCATTACCACTTCTGTGTTTCCTGATTGTCTACGCTTTAGACCAGGTAAATCAGGTAAGTCTCCAGTTGGCCAGGTGGCCACAATACCTTGGATCGGACTGTGGAAGCTGATGCCGCACCATTGTTGTTTGTTTCAATATATCTTGGCGTTTTTTTGGGCGTATGTATGTTGTGGAAGCTTTTTGCCTGATTTTACATAACGGTACTTTTTGCGCCACTTAAAAGGGACAGCTGACAAAAACAGCTGCGCAATCGCTAAAGACAGTGTTAGGCTGTCAATCTTCTTTTGTAAACAAATCAAAGAGGAAGCTACTAAATATCGAGAAAGTCAAGCCACGCTAATATAATATATTATTTCTTTGAACCGAAAAATATTTAAGTTTATATGAATTACATACTTTTAATAATATGCGCTTCAAGAATATATTTTAAATCGGATTCAACTATAGCGTAAGTCTAATTAATAATTTTTAAAATTAATTAAATAGTAAACTAAAATTGTTTTAATAAATGAGCACTTAAAAAACTGATTTTGTAAAAACCCCTAAAACCCACGTAAAAATACGTTCTTTTTTAATGCATTTTTACAGCTTTCCAACATCTTACTAATTTTTGACTCTCTGTTTTTAGTGCTCACAGTAATTTCTCAGTTGGCTTACTTCATTTTCGTTTAGTTTTGTTGCGCGAAACGTGTTGGCAAGCGCTTGTTATGATCCGTTAAAAACTACATATATACATATAAACAATAACAGAAACTAACCGGCGATAGGGAAACAGACTCAAGTGCAAATTATTTTTGACATATATTTTTTCGCGGCTTTGCGGCGAAGGTCGATAGCTTGCGTTCCAAATGGGCAACATAATAACTCACAAACAGCCGCGAAAATATCATAAAACAATGCAAATAATGAAACATGGCGAAAACACTTGAGCAGATAGTTGAAAAACCCGCTAAAGGCAAAAAGAATTCCGATTGGAATAAACCAAAAAAGCAGCTTGGCTTTTGTTTTTGGCAAGAGACGACATAATGAAGGCTATCCTGCTCTAACCTTCCCCAGATAATGACGAATGATACACCCACACCCACACTGTCTGCAAATTTATGATCATAATTAACATGACGATGACTTTCTGCTCCATGTGTTCCACTAGTTTTAATGCTCGTGATTTAAATAAATAGCACAACTGAAATTTGAATAAGCACGCAACATTTCCCTGCATACAAACAAAACTGCCAGAGTACGATGTCACAAGTACATCAGCGGACAAAGAAGTAGGTCTCAATGTTCAATTTATGTTAGCAAAATTTTTGGTAAATTAAAACTTTAAATTGATCATTTCATATCTCGATTAACTGTTTAAATTGAAATTTTTAACTTTTTCTTATCTTTAAGATGTCTTTATCTTTAAAGAATAGCTAGCAGAAAGCTCCAAACTGCACGTCGATTTAATCTGCACACGGATGAAAACAGAAATGCCAGCTTATCATGAACTGGCAGATAAACAAAAAAGGTCGCTACTCTTTAATTTAATTTCAAGGTAATTCGTCCAATATAAGCTTTAGAAATTGTATACAAAATAATTATAAGTTATTTTAACTTTCACACCCGATTATCATAAATAATTTAAACAAATTTTGTCTCACCATTAATTTGTTTTACGGTAGTACTAATTTTTTTACCCTCACTGTTCGTCTCGTCGACGTGGGCCGTGTGCAAGGTGGCAACGCTGCGTGCAAGGTGTCGCCGTGGTGGCAATGCGCAGGCGCAGAGCGAACGGGCCAAAAACGCTAAAGAGGGACGGAGTGATGCACAGTGGACAATGGGAACCAACCTGGCTTACACAAAGCCAAGCTCTAATGTTTGATTCCTAGCAGTTTTTTATTACGCAAGCTTCGAATTCAATTGTTAAAATATACGGTTAAGCGGAAACCCATTTAAGGTTTCAGCCATACAAATTTAGAAGTTATAAAATGTAAGTCCATTTGCTTTAATTGTGTATTTACGTTTACTTGTATTCAGAAAGTTATTCTTAAATTATTGGATACTGTGATGTTCGTATCTATTTAAAATCGTGAGTAACGATTGATTTTTATCGTGAATTGATATATGTAAGTTAGCTTTCATAAAATATGAGATTTTCTTACTAAAAAGATCGAGCTAAGGAAGTTGAATTGCACATTATTTACGAATAATGTATACAATCGATTTATTTTTTGTTCTTTTCTTTTAAAGTAATTTTAAGTAATTGTCTAAAATTGCTTGGTATTCCCATTGTGCGATGGGCCCACGAAAAGTGGGTGGAAAGTTAAGGTAAGGAAAGGAAAGCAAGACAAGGTTACGACACAACAACACAACTGCAGGGCAGAGCAGCTGATGTGGAGGGTGGGGAGGGGTGGAAAAGGAAAAAGGGAATGGGAAGTGGGCAATGGGAATCGCAATAAGAATGAAAATGGAAATAGGAAGGGCAGGACTGCCCTGTTATCAATGTTGTTGTTTCCCAGCGAAGCTGCGAAGCAACGGAACGATGATGAACGTTGATGAATGATGATGGACGATGGACAATGGACGCTTTTAATTTCATTAATGTGCGAAAATAAAGCATAAAAAATTTGTACCACTTTTCTCTTGCTGCTCCGCTAATTTGTAAAACAAAAAAGAGCAGCAACGCACACACACACGTAAGCAAAAATACACACAGACAGCGAAAGAAAGTTTCTGTATTTTTTCTCACTCCATTTTTCGTTGATAATGTTTACATATACACGTAAAGTTTGTGAGAAGAACTGCACATAAAATATAAATAAAGATGCTGGAACTCACCTCTTCTTCTTCTGCCACTGTGAATGAACCGTTAGGCTGGAACGTGGGGTGGTGGTGTTAGTGTACTGTTGTTGTTGCTGTTGCGGCAGCAACAAATAGCCGTTGTTTATCGTTTTTTCTCGGTTTGTTTGCAATCAGCAATACTTTTTCACATCCGATAAGATCGATTGACTGCGATCAACTCATATTCGATCATAAATTGGTTGCATTAACTTTAAACTACTTGAAAATTTTGACGACACCACCGAACTCTTTGCTGCTGTAAACGTCACACACACACGCATACGCACACACCTCAGCAGTAGTAATTTTTTTCGCTCTCTCTCTCTTTTGCTGTGGTTCTTTTTGACTTTATATATTTATTCTTTTTTTTGGGAGTACTTCATTTCAATCACTATTCATCGGCCGAATATTGCACTGGAAAAAAATACAGCGTTCGATCGACCACGGTGAATTGACGAATGTTTTTTTTTCGCCCACTTGGGTGTGACTGCGCCGTGAAAGCTGTGGAATACCAACGGTTTATTTGGGTGTCTACCCAAATCTACCATAAATATACCAAACAAGCCTCTTAACCCCGGTCAATATTTAGCCCGGACTCTCACCAAAGATATGTGCTGCACAGTGGGACGCGGATTTGAATTTTATTTCATTTAAACAGAAATAGAACGTATTTACATTTTTAACTACTAAGTTAATATTTTATAAATCGGTGTCAAAACAGACATTAAGTTGGACGACTTGCACACAATTAGCTTATAAATGTGTTCCCGTGTCTATATAAGGATATCATTTTTATTAGCTGTTGCTTGAAAGGACGTTACGATTGGTCTGTAAAAACGGCAACCAAAAACTATTAAAAAACTTCATCTTTTCATTGATCTTTTCCAAATTTACTTGTTGTTATGAAAAGCTTTAAAGGTTATGTTGGGCGGTGCATGAAAAGGCCAAACCGCTTGAGAGAGTTTTTTCGTTATTTTAGCGACGGTCACACCGGTGATGGCGTCTTTAAAATTTGTTAAAATTATCAGCAATTTTGCTGAATGAAAACGCCAATTTCGAGGGTGCATCCGCTTCAAAGGTGCAAGAACTGAGTGATTGTCCCGTGCCAGGAATTGTCCGGGTAACCATTGCCCGTTAGCTTGTCCATAAAGCAGCTAAATCGGCAAATAAACCGTGTGGCAAACGTGCGTTCTTTCGGTTTTCGTTTCTGTGCGAAAATCGCAACGAGCGGCATTCCTCGATCATGGACATATTTGACATGGTAAAAGCGGCGCCGCCGCCCCAAACGATTACTCCGGTGGACAGAAAGGTGTCCACTCCGTCGCCAATCCCTCCGGACTCGCCGCTGGACTCAATAGGTACGCAAGCTTCTCGCTCGCAAAATGTTTTTCCTCCGCAAATCAGCACCTTTTGTTTTTATTCTTTTGCAGACCTCCTGCAGAGTGAGCATCTGTCAAACGAGGATGACTTTGACAGGAAGACGGAGCTCGACGAGTCGCCTTTTCAAATACCCAGGCGGAAGTCTAATGACACAAGTCAAAAGCCAGACGAATCACCGCTTGAAATTCCCAAAGTGCTAGAGAAACTTGAGGGAAACGAAAAACCGCAGGAAAACGCAGAGGACTTAAACAGAATCAATGAGGAGTTCGAAAACACCACAAAAAAGGCTAGAGAAAGCGTTGAGTTGCACAAGCTCGTCTCCAAACCGAACACAAATAAGAAGGAATCCGCATCCCAACCCCTCAAGCCGCATAAGAAAAGACGAGCTGAGCCTCTGGAGGGCGGGGAGAACTCCGACAACTCAGAGGAGGACCAAAAGCGGATGACTATGCTCACCAAGACCAAGGCCCAGCAGAAAATGTTTAGCGATCAGCCGCTGGCCAAGTTCAACAAGGAGTGCGTGGTGCGAGTGCGTCGCTTGACCCGGCAGGAAATCGATTCGGCTTTCAAGTCCGTGGCCAACTCGTCCTTCGCCCATGTGACCGACTCATCACGGAATGGGGGCGGTCGGGGGCGTGGCAAGCCGAAAAAGAAGACACCATTACCTCCCAAGAAGCAGAAGTCGCCGAACAAAACCAATTTCCACATCAAAGTTCCTCTACAGAACGGCGCCAAGAAGCGGTCGCTGCAGCACTTGGCACGCACCCACACACCGCCGCCCAGTTTGGCCAGAAGGGCGGCAGCGAAACCACAGGCCAAAACGCTGCCCAAGGCCAAGTCGAGTCCCAAGTCAACGAACAGGCCGATTCGGGGACGCCACGCCAACCAGGCTCTGATCCAGCGCTTTGGCGCCCGTTTCTTCGGCTGTGTGGTGAAGATTAAGCGAACGCCCTGGCCCCACAAGTGGCCGGAGTGCAGTCCCCGTCCCATTGGCGGGACCAGGAAGGGCCGCTCCCGGAAGCCCAACCTGTCGGTGTCCTTCAGCGAGGCCGTCGAGATCCTGGGCAGCAACGAGGGCGGCTCGCGGCGGGCCACATTCGGCTCGATTTCGATGTCGTCGAAGGCGTCGCCCAAGCCGACGCGTTTGCAGCGGGTGGATGCCACGGGCAATGTGCTGGAGGACATATCTCTCACCTCCACGCCGCTCCCACTGCCGCCCTCCGCCCGTCCGTCGTCGTCCTCTGGCGGCTCTCGGAGCAAGAGCAAGCGCCGCTCCTGCAACGGCTCGCCGATTGGCGGACGGCTCAAGCGACCCCACCAGCGCCTGCCGCTCTCCAGCTTGGCCAGCCTCCGTCTGGACGACAGTCCCAAGGCTGACGAGAATGAGGACGATGACGAGGAGTACATAGGTAGGTAGACGATAGACAATCTGACATAGAATAAAATCCAAATCTGCGATCGGAGTGGTGGTCGTTAATCAAAATTAAACAGGTTCTAATTCAGATTTCGTTTTGAAAAGAAGGGGTATTTTATTGAAATATGTTGTCATAAGTTATTTTTTGTTGTGGGTAATCTCCTCATTATCATGACATGTCTTTGACCAATAAAAAATCGAAAGACCTCTTGCAAAAAGTACAAATTTATCCGTTTTTTGCAGAAATATAATAAATTTCGTAATAACAAGCTTAGAGAAGCTGTGAATTGTACAAATTGTAAACATCTGCGTTTTGTTTTTCTGTATTTCTATAGAGTAAAAAATCATATACATTTAAAATACGAAAATCTTGAAATTAAAGAATAAAGGCTAATATATCTCCCATTTCCTCGTCTAGTGCCCAACGAACTGCCCGGCACCCAGAGACCTGGATCACCGCCTCCCAAGAGAAAGAAGATATCGTTCACCACGACCATCAGCGACGATGAGGACGAGAAGCCGTCGCTTAAAGACAAAAAGGACTCTGTTAAGAAGTATCTTAAGCCGCTTAAGGAAAGCACCAGCAAAAAATCTGAGAAACCGCTGAAGGATAAAGAGAGGTTCGACAAATCTGCCAAGGAAAAGGACAGGACCGACAAATTGCCCAAGGAAAAGGAGAGAAGACTTGCGAAGACGAATGAGATTGTAGAGGAACAACTTACTTTATCAACAGCTGAAATTAAAACCCCCGACAAGGAGGAAGCTCAGATAACCCAAGTGAAAAGAGGCGAAATCGAAACAGAAACACCTGAAACGAACGAAGTAGAAAGGGATGGAGAATCCCGAGAGAAACCTTTAGATGCTGCAGTGATAAATCAGAGTGAAAGCGACGAAGGTAACCCGGAGGAAGTTGTTAAAGAGAAACCGGAGGAAATATCAGAAGACAAGGCGGAGGAAATTACAGAAGACAAGTTAGAGGCAACAGCAGAAAACAATTCAGAGAAAATAGCAGATGACAAGACAGAGAAATTCTCTGACCATGCTAAAGAAGAAGGTGCTCAGGAGAACAGCGAGAAAATCATGGATGAAAATGAGGAGAAACCCACGGACACACCCAATGACTCTCCACAACCAACAACAGATCAGGAAAGGATCCAGGAAGTAGAAGAGGAAGTCGAGCAGCCTGAGGAGTTTAGGGATTTGGAAACCCCGCTGCCGCTGCCGCTACCGCTCCCGTCCACCACTGAGGAGAACCAGGATGACGTTTTGGAGATCCAGACGTCCCTGGACGACGTCCGTCAGTTGCACACACCCTCATCCCGCCAGAGTACGCCCAAGCAGCGCAGCCGCCTCGAATCCGCTGACTCCGACTGCAGCTTCAAGTCCGCCAGCGATCATGCTAAACAGCCAGCTGGTAAACCAGCGGAAGAGGCTGACGAGGAGGAAGAACGACCAGCGCAAATGGAAGTCGAAGCCGAAGCCGAAGAGGAGCACCCAGTGGTCTCCATGGAAGTCGACAGGCTCGTTCCCGCCGAACTTCCCGCTGAGCTGATGACCCCGCCCTCGCCAACCAGGACAGTGAATGGCGGCGATCCCGCCAGCGGATCAAGCATCTCGGCGCCATACTACTCGCCCATCGAGGCCATGCCCACTTTGGACGACGAGGTCCTTGGCCAGCTAGTCGGTGAGTGGGAGGCGAACTCCTCGATCCACTCCTTCACACACTGCCATTAATATCACATTTGTTATTTATAGATTACAAGTAGAGAAGGTTATGATTTCACAGTACGTCAATTACCTGTTTTTCGTTTCGTTTTACAAAAGTTCCCTAAGATTAAAACTCACCCACCGTTTTAACTAACAATACATTCCGTGAGATGATTACATCATATTAACGTACAGATTAACTATTTAATTTACAACTTTTTACCTTCAATCAAACGAGGTATCGCAGTTAAGAGTCATTAAATCGCGTAGTCATGTTTAATAGCTTCGCGGAGACAATTTATAGAAATTGAGTTTATTGCAAAATCGAATTGTCCATTTTGAGATCACTTTGGTATTAAATGCTGGTTAATATCGTATTTTTACGTAATAACCATAGATTTGTACAACTTATTAAATAATAAAATTATAACTTATAGGTCTTACTACATAATTAGGAATTAATACAGATTACTAACTTTTTTTCCTACACCGAATAAAACCATATCTCAATACAATAAAGTATAATTTATTTTATTTTATTTTAAAAATTTCATACTTTTGTAAACGGTTTTCTTAATTTGGTAAAAAGTTTTTAACGCTGCCAAAGAGAAGAAGCGTCCGTCTATCCGTTTATGGAAACAAGAAAAGAACCTAACTTCGGCGATCCGAACTTAACTTGCAATGAGAACATACGTGTGTAAAACGACAGGAATCATCACAAATCTATTGTAAAGAGGTGTATTTCTATTGCTTAAATTTAAACCTTTTGTTATAAGCAAAAAATAGTAATTCTTGGGCTATCGTCAACACTTTTCTCTTATATACTACAGCTATGAAAATCGAAGCATGGTTTTGGAATACATTTTGGTTACCTCTAAAATACAAATTGCATATTACAAAACTTGGTTATCTGCCAAACAAACAACAAATTGTAAAATGACACAGAACGGTTTATTAAATACTTTAAATGGTTTCAGTTTTGCTTAGCAGACCCTGGATTTTGTCCCCGATTAACAACCCTATTTCTTACTAATTAACTTCTTTTTACCTTTTAATAATTGAATTGTGTGTTTCGGCTTTACAGAACCCGACTTCCAGCTGACCTCCAGCCGACATGCCATCTCAAGGGGCACGCTGGACGACATAATGACTGCGTTAGAATCCTAGGAAGCTGGCCAACTTTGCACCACGCACTCACAGATACACAAGTCACCCACACCGAAGCATTCACACACATAGACACCCATACAGATGCAACCAGAGAGTGGATATGCAACTGATTGAGTTTGTACTTAGTCAGGATCTCCGATTCCCGCCCTTCGATCATGAAATATTCGTATCTTACTTTAAAACAATTAATCATTTTTTTAGTGAAGAACATGAACATTTTGCACTTAAATAAGTTGCTGATCTAGTCAGCTTTTGGGGCACAATCCAACACAACTCCCTCACTTAATTTGCAGTTTTGCGCAAAACTGTGGACGTAAATAAATTTGTAAGGACGGACATTCAGAGGAGAACTGAACATTTGTTTCTAACGTTTAAGTTGCTTAAACAGTTCGTTACGTTAGTTATACGCAAAAGAAATACGTATTGTTTGATTTTTAAAAATCCCATTTTTTTTGAAAACGTAGATATTAAAAAAAATGCTTTCGCGCACCTATAATATACTTAAAAACTTAAGTATCGATCATCTTAAATTAGTTGTAAATTCAATGTATTAATTAAAAAATTATGTATGTATGTATAAAGACAAAGAAACATAAAGAAACAAATATTTAACAATCTTTTTTTGTTGGAAAAGGTGAATTTAAAAACCAATTAATATAATATTTCTATAGCATACGTTGCCATATGTTATGGATTGTGCGCGTTTAAAATAAGATTTCAATTTTTAGAGTTGCCATACTGCCAAAAAAGGATGCTAAGACCGCGAATAGAATTTTATGTTTAAACTTTACCACTGAGTCCTTTCTAACATTCTTTCATATAATCTATCTTTAGTTAATGCGGAGTATACATTGTTTGATTTTTTTTAAAAATGTTTTACCATCTTTATACAAATGTTTTCTTTCCTGTTCTACTTTGAAAAGCTTAAGTTTTTTTTTTTTAATTTGGTGATCAAAAAACGTATGTAAGAACATAAAGTTGTTATACCTTAAGCAAAGATCATATCACTTTTAACTCTTCATCACCCCTGTGCGTTATTAGCTCTTAACTTCTGTTTTTTGATTTATTTTTTGAAACTTCCAAATATTCTTCAGCATTCCGTACAATGTTGCCACATGTTTGTCCCCAAAGTGGCCACATTTTTGGGGAGTCCGTGGATTCAGCGCGAAAACACAACAGTCGCAACTTTGACTTGTTGACGGTTGGTTCTCCTCGGGATTCTGGGGCAGCGTCGATTTGCAGAGCGTTTGGCGCGAGTGCGAGAGATTTCGAAAATTGCCCGTTTGCGTGAGTGGCCCGAAAATGTTGGACTCGCAGGACCGAAGTGGGCCGGGCCCCTAGAAAATAAATCGAATAGCCAGCAAAATAAAATAAAGTGATTGCAAAATAATCGAGGGATTAACCAGAAAAGGGAGGAAAGCGAGTGGAGTGGAGTGGAGTGGAGTGGAGAATGCCGCTGAAAAAGGTGACGGTGAAGGAGTACGACTCGCAGGATGAGGCCAGCACCGAGTTGCTGGAGAAGCTGAAGCACCTGGACCGCCGCGTGGATGCCGCCGAGGGCGGGGGCGTGGCCAAGGGGGCGGCGGGCGGTAGGCGGGGCACCGCCTTCTGGCAGTCGGTGAAGTGGAAGTCGGCCCTCAATCACATCGGACTGCTCGTCTCGCTGTCCATCTACTGCGGCGTGGGCGGATTGGTAAGAGAACGTGTGTTCCACGTCCCCAACAGACCCGAACATAACTAAACAAATATTTAATTATTTTCGATGTTTTTTTTTTTTTTTTTGTTTTTCGCCTTTTGCGGCCACCGCCACGAACATGCAAAATGATTTGTGCTGGGCCAAAAGCCGAAAACGGCGAGCGTTAAAATTGTTTGGAGCAGAGTGAGAAGCAAAACACATAAATACAGTGTCTAATCGAAGAAAGGGATTAAAACCGTTTAATAATATTTTAAAAGAAGATAACCCGATTTGAATCAAGTTTGAAGGCAATAAGAATATGTCTTAAACACAGAAACTTAATCAGAGCAGAAACTGTCGAATAATAAACGAAAAGCTTAAAATTAATTTTGACATCAATGAATGAATTCAAAATAAATTTTTCAAAATTATAAGCTTGTATTTCTGAGCCAAAATCCGTAGAACAAAAATCAACATTACATCGATAATATAGAATAACAAACCTTATTCTTGTAATGTCTTTGGACTTTCATTTACAAAAATCTAAATTAAAACATAAAAGTTCTGGTTCTTGTGTTCTTGTTTTACCATTTAACGATTTTATTTTCATTGGTAGTGCATATGAATTTTACAGATATAATATGGTTAACTAATTGGTCGATAATTATTATTTCCTTAAAAATGATTTACCTTTGTTTAAACAGAGTAGAATTTTTAAATACAGAAAGAAAGAGTGAAAAGCTATTTACGTGTGCTTCAAAAAGTATAAATTATTTATTATTATATTTTATGTGCTCTTTAGAAAATAAGGCTTATTAACCCCTCGATCGTTTACTGTAGCACTATGGATAAAAACAATAACCCAAACAGAGCCGAAATTCATTGCAGTGGAAATACTAAAAATTAGCCCAAAATTAAGTCATAAAACTATTTTGTACATTTAAGTGCCCCGCCTCCCCTAATTGCCACTGCACATCCAGACGGGCAGAAATCTGTCTGGACGGCGCAGGAGGAGCAGGAGGAACTGCATCGGGCGGACCAGTCAGTCCATTCGGTCCAGTCTTTCTGGCCTTGTCTAAACATTTACATTTTCGCCAATGACGTCGTGGTTGGAGCTTCCATAGCTTCTGGCCCAGAGAAAATATGTACAAGCGCCGCTGTGTTTAAACTGATGCCGTCAGTTGTCCATGACTGCAAAATAGCTGCAGTTAATCCGCGGGCAATATCGGGGGAGTCCGAGCCCTAATTGTTGTGTCCCACGACTTGACATATGGCCGAGTGTCGTGCCGGCGAGGTATTTGTTATATTGCCTCTCAATTTCCTCGAGCGCCGACAATTACGGGCTGGGAAATGGGCCAGGATATATGGTAGTGCGAGCATGGTGTGGGTGTCGGCCGAAACGAGCTGAATGAATGGATGTCGGGGCTTATCGGAGACGTCCAATAAATGCATTGGGAAACCAGCCCGAAGGCAGTTGATTTGTGCATTTCACATTAATGCCTAAAGAGTCGCGGATAAAAATAAAATCCCCCGACTTTATATATTCAATTGCTTATTGAAAAATAATGCTCATTAATTTATACCAAATAAATAGTAGCCAAATAAATAAATACAATTTATTTGCATACTCAACGGATTGTAAGAGTTTAAGCTTAATTGTCTTCTTCAATAAAATTCAGTTAGTTTGCTTAAATACATATTTAACCAGCAAAAGTTTATAAACATTTTTTCGTGTATAAAATCAAAAAAATATATAGTTTCAAAACTGCTCGTCAGTTACAAAATATATAACACTCATTGAAAAAGTTTCGTAAATACTTTTACTTTAATTTGCGATTTGTTGGAATCCTTATTTGCTTAAAATGTATTTAAGTGATTTAATTATTTTAGTGACAAGACTAATTTATAACAGAGTAACTTATCCTTGTGTTATTAATCCTCTTATGAAGTTCTTGCAACATTGTTGAGAAAACGCAGAATTGTCGGACTCATGAATAAATTAACTCTGCGTATACTTTTATTGACTGCCTTGGCAACATGAATCATTTCATGGTTCCTTGAATTCTTGGATATATTTCTGGGCTAAATCAATCCCCAGTGCCCCGCATTATCCCAGCCCTATCAACACCTCGACGATATATCTGGCGATTTGCGCAGATTTCTGGCCACAAAAGCCGTGCATTAATCAGCCAACACGCTCGCCATTCATATGGATTGTCGAGGAATCCCAGCCAACGACCCTCCCGAATTTTCCGCTGGAGGGGACCCTTCAGTTTCTTGGCCACACACACCACATGTTGGCCAATTATGCGCACTTCTCACTTAAATGGCTCATCAAATCGTTTCAAATTCACATGGAGAATAGCATTTGTTTTATGTTTCGATTTTGTGGGGCTTTCCAACGCTTGATCTTTTCTTCTCTGTTAATAAACTAAAGAAAAATGAATTTAAGTTGTTGAAATTGAAATGAAACATATTAACATTCTTGTTCTTTTTTTTTTTTATTTGTAGAACGGTATTTTTTATAATTATAAACTTAAATTTTTTCGAATGAATACAAATTATGCATAACTTAACATTTGACTTAGCAAGAAACCAAATTTGCTGCTGCAAAAGTTCTCTCAGTTTGTTTTGAATTTCAAATGCAATTTATTTTGCATTGACTTAACCCTTGAGCGCCCCTTTAACCCACCTCAGGCCAATGGCCTTAATCCGAATCCCAGTTAAACGGAAATGAATCCTGGGACGTGAACAGAACTGTCCACATCAGGATATCACATGACATTTAAGTTTTCCATACAGTTTTTCTTTAATGTTTGCCTTCCGGAAATCAGTTTCAGTCCCTTGACCAGCGACAAAAACTTTGGACACCAACTGCTCTCCTTCCCATATTAGTTTTTAGAAAAAGTTGAAAGCCACATAAAAGATATGAATTATGATCTTTGAATTTCTGGAGTTTTAATTTACATATAGATTTTTAAACCGAGTGAACTATGTTTAAATTGTAATTCAAAAAGTCTGGCAATTTATTAATTGGCTTATTTTAAAAGCCAAATAAAATCAAAAACAAGTTGTAGTTATGTATTAAAAAAAAAAAAAATTAGAAAACTTTTTTAAATATTAAACAACGCAAAAGATCTAGAAACTGTTTATTTGTTTTATTCATTTACTAATCTCACTTAACTTAAACTTCATTGCGTCATCGTTTGGGGTGTCTCCTTTTTCAAAAGTATTTTATTTGAAAGATAAACCGCTTTAAAGTGAAATCACTCTTTGGGGGCAAAAAACAGAAAGTTTTAATTGGTTTTGTTGACGAGTCGGCCATGAAGCAATTGACATTTATCTATTTAATGGCTTTGTTTCCGCTTTCTTCTGCTTCAGCCAGCAAGGACACGAGCCAGTTTATTTATTAATTAAGCCAAGGTCTCGAGGGAAGAAGGGAGTGAAGCTCGAATTACGAGCAAACAGCCTCCTTTCCACATATGGCCAAATGGCATGAGTGGCCATAAATCATTTTAATTAGCATTTTGTAGCATACTTTAAGGCGTCGTCGAAGCTACTATCTCTATATGTGTGTATGCGTGTGTGTCTGTGTGTGTGTGTGTGCGAAAAATTTCACTTTGTCAAAAGTTGTCCAGCGGAAAAAGTTAAAGGCCAAGTGAATTAAGTTGCTGGCCAAAACAACACACAGCAACAAAGCGGCCAATTAGACTTAAGTCAACCCAGCCCAGTCCTAAAACTTCTCCCCTTTATAACCGTCATATAGATACAGTTGTTGGCAAGATAATAGCGCATTCTAGCTAAAGTAATGGCTGCGTTATTGTTTCATTAGGGAATTTGATTGAAGTGAATACTGATTAATTGAGCAATAGTGCCATACTGAACTGTATACTGTATACCCAAAAATTTGTTTTCTTAAATTGGATGTAAAGTAGGTTTATAAGGTAGTTTATAGGTTTGTTAAACGCTTCTTAGATTTGTAAATTAATATTTTGTTGAAGTTAAGGTAATAATTATTTTATTGTTCTTCCAAAATTGTTTATTTACATCTCATAAAACTAAAGACAAATTAAAATTTTATAAAAGGGAGTAATAATGGTTCTAAATATGAATTATTTTTTAAATTTGAATATTGTTTTCCACACATGGAAAATGCATCTGTAGTTTCTTGACCCCAATCGTAATGTGCGATGGATATGGTCATGTGTGCGTCGGTGTTATCTGATTAACTGACCCATCTAAGCCTGCCCAGACATGATTTTTCATATCGAGGCCAATTTGCTTCTTGGCCCTGAACGAAATCCAAAACCAAAACCAAAGCCGCTGCCAAAGACAGGAACTAGGAACAAGCAACTGGGCACGGCCCAAAAGACGCTTTTCCGCATTTCCACCGCGGATGTTTGCAACAGGAAGGCGAATGGGAAAACTCGAACTGGCAGAACCATTGGGGGAACGTTGGAAAATCACGTCAGGTTCACATTAGGCCAATAAATGACATTTTTTGACCCATGTAGCTTAAGAGAGTGAGAGAAAAGGTGAAAAAAATAAGTGAAATTTTACCTTTAATTACAGGGGAAATAGAAAAGACAATAATGTTGTAAAATTCCGAATTAATTTAATTTGTTTGTACTAGATTCTGTGAAACTATTATTTATTTTGGTTGTGTCTTTTTTACTGGCTTGCCTATTCTACCACAACTGATGAAATGCACAAAACCATTTGATTTCGGTTTCGTAATGAAAACATTATGCCCAAACGCCCTCAGCTATGCAACACTTTAGCCCCGCTTCAGTTTATTTGTTTTCTGTATCTTGTCACCGCTTGCAAATTCCAACCATGTACTCCCCTCCCCCGAAAACCAACCCAAAACGAACCCAAAATCTCCCTAAATTACCAAACAATGACGAGCCAAGCGATTCGATGCGAGACGAAGATCCATTCGATACAAAATACAAGATACAAGATACAAGATACGGGGGCTAAGCAAACTCGAGGCGAAGTGTTTAAGTGTATTAGAC